AGCCCATTGTGTATTTCTGCGCTTGACAGCAAAAAAAAAAAATCCTTAGGACTTAATTCAAAACAAAAAATCTGTTAAAAAAATTCATCTGAATATTTATTCCAATTTTTCATAAAATCATTTGAACTTTTTTATACATGGATATCATGATTAAATTTCTGGCGTTCTATCAAGTGAATAATTCTACACAAACAACAAAATCTGAAGTAATTAAAAAGTAACTCTTAATACGGTTTCGATACCCGTGGTGGGCAGAGCACAAATAACTTTTTGTGTAGCTTTGTGCTTACTAACAAACAACAGCGTGAAAGTTTTATCTTTATTTCGTGACTTTTAACATTCAGAAACAGTAGTGTATAGTTTTTTTTTATGTTAACTGGTAAATTTAACTAAGCTCCAACAAATTTTAATCCCGCATTAGACGGCAGAAAGTAGTTTTAACGTACGTTAGGCCCGCCAATAAATGAAACTGCCAAACCTGCTACAAAAGCCTTCATAAATGAACTGCTATGTTTGGTCTCTTATGATTACATTATTGATGTGGAACCGATTTAATAACTGAACATCGACTTTTAACATAAAGTCTAATACTCAAAATAAGAAAACAAATGTTTGTTACAAAAGAAAATAAGCTATCATATTAATTATGAAAGAAAAACATTTTAAATATTTATTGCAGAGTGACCAAAATAACTTGTTTTTCAAGCACCTTCAAACAAAGTAAAGGTATAAGCTGGTAAGGAACATGTTTTTGAAACACACAAAGAAAAACATATTACTTCAAAATAATAACAGGGTAATTTCGAAGTCTAAAGATTTTGATAACCATATTATTACATGACTTCAGAGTTATTCCAATGCTCGAAAGTAACACAAACATCGTTATCTTACTGTATAATCATACTTAGTGTAATAATCAGTTGGTTTTATGTATTTTGACTTATTATCAAAATATATGAATAAAGAAAAAAGTGAAAATAATACATTATTATCATAAGTGGGATCATAAGTGTGTTGAGAGAGATTACATTACACGTTTACACAAAGTATAAATCAGCTATGAATGACTTTCAAAACCTCGCTATATTTTCCCGTCAGTAAATGTTTTGTGTATAAGCTCCAAGAGTTAAAGCTATATAAACATTGTTGTTAAAGTTTTGTGGCTTCTCGTCCTGAATGAAGAATACAGAACAAGAACTTTAGTAACAGAGAATCATAATGTCTACTTTAGAAGCAGTGACTATATGAGGGAAGTTATTAAATACTTTATATGCAATCAACTCTTCGTGTGAGAGAGAGACACCCACGGTCGTAAAGATGGATTTTTCGATTTTCACGCAAGTGCAGTATTAAGCAAGTGACATCCCCCTTTTGAGCTAAAATCACGAGAACATGAATAAATGGAGATTTAAAGAAACAATGTGGAATTTACATCCAAAAAGATATAAGATTATTACTTGGTTGAATTTCCAAGATTATCACTTGGTTGAATTTCCATATAACTAAGCTCCAAGAAATTTTAATCCCACATTAGAGGCAGAAAGTAGTTTTAACTTACGTTAGGCCTACCTTGTATTCGAAAATATTACATCATTTTAACGTAGCTTTTCCATAAAGAAGCTGTCATAAATGATCGAATGAAAACTTGTGATTTATCCTAGTCTTCAATCACGATATTTTGTTTGGTAGACTCTGTTACATACATATTTTTATGAGATAAGTAATTGTTAGAATTATTTAAAATTAAAAGTTTCAGGCAAAAGTTACTTTAAAAATGTAGAAATACAATAAAATGTATTACATAAAAAGATTCAGAAGAAAACAATATTTCTATATGCTTTTGCGGGTTATTAGGACCTTTTTGAATCAAACAGCTAATTGCAATCATTTATTATTTTCTGTAAAAGATGAAATATATAAATACAACTCCAAGAATTGTTAAAATATAAAGTAGTATTTATAAAATAATAACTTTTATTTGAGTTTCCAGTTTTATCTTTTTGGTATATATATATATAAAATATGTTGTTATGGTAAATAATTTAGTTATTCTATAATATATTAAATAGGATTAACTTTAATATATTGTGAAAGACAGGAACAAATGTTATTTAAACTCAGTCTACCAAACTTATAGGCAGTTACTATGAAGTACGTACAGGTAAAACAGACTTTTAACTATATTAATATTTAAATTTGGCCTGGCATGGCCAAGGTGGTCAGGGAGCTCGATTCGCAATCTGGGGGTCACGGGTTCGAATCCACGTCCCACCAAACATTATCGCCCTTTTAGCCGTGGGGGCGTTATAATGTGACGGTCAATCACACTATTCGTTGGTAGAAGAGTAGCCCAAGAGTTGTCTATGGGTGGTGATGACTATCTTCGTTCCCTCTAGTTTTTCACTGCTAAATTAGGGATAGATTTGCGCGAAATTCAACACAAACAAACATCTTTGAATTTGTGGAATCTCTTGAAAAGTTGTAGTAAACACAGATGTGTGGACAAAGGGATTAGGGGTATGATAAATGTTTTCACTGAAATTATCTAAAAATCACCAGAAATGAGGTTAAAGTAAAAAGAAATATTACATATTTTTTAATTCAACATTTATCGTACATAGGCTTAAAATGATATTGATTGCTGCTTTGAAGGAAATACGCGTGTGTTATCACTGATAAAAAATATTCAGTTTTTACTTTAATTATACCTCATTGTAAATTCAAGTATTAAGATGTGGTTTAAAATGCTCAAAAATCTACGAACAAATACAATATATGAAATATTAAACGTCCCATTGTATGCATGTCCGTTAGTTTGTTTTATTTTATAATGTTAACGAATCAGCTCCATCGTGCAGTGGTCGAAAGAATGCACTGTCGTAGAAAAATAATTAGATCTGATTAGATCAGTTATGGTATGAAAAACTACATTGACGTCAGAGGTTATCTGTTTTTGTTCAATATTTCATGAAAAACAGATGTCTTAGATTGAGATTCCTCAGTTTTTGTTGTTTATATGAAATATCCACAGTTCAAACTAAAACTATGTTTATATTTATGTAAAGTTTGCCATAATCAGGAGGCACAACATAATTGATTTTGCAGCTAATTACCGGCCCTCTTTCAAGTAAATTGTTTTTTAAATCTATATTATTTCCTGTGCCTCCAGGGTGATGCAAAAAGTCGCGCACCACCATAATATTTCTCAGTCCCGCCCTTACTATAATTTTACTAAGTCATATTTGTGTTTCATTAATTGTCTCTTTTTCTCTTGTTATAATAATTGGCTGGAGTGTCATTAATCTTGCAAGAACACGTGGACGTGATCCTTTTGTGTGAGTATCCAAGTTTGAATGAACAGCAGGTCACGACAGAATTTAATTTGGAGCATCCTGGATGGACGTCGGTAGTTTGCTCATCAACTTTCACAAAACTACTCCGAAACACTACGGAACCCTTATTTAGTAACGAATGAAGATATTTTGAACACAGCGGGAAGACAGTCTCATTTTAAATTGTTAAAAATTATATTTTTTTATGTTCACTTATGAACAAATAAATACACTGTGGTTGTAAATGAGTGGAACATCCTTCAATTTCACAGTGTTTAATTCTAAAATATTATTCACCCAGTTAGCGTCCTTAAAACTTGATTATTGCATCGTGCGATGGTAAATAAAAGACACCCCACTCACCTGTGAAGTATTAGAGAAGATTTCAACTTTGGCATGTTTTTCTTCAAATAGTGATGTTTTGATATTTTATAATGTATAGATATGTTAAATATCAAAGAACTGAATAAGATATTATGTGTTATATAAGTTTTATATAAACGTTGCAGTTTAAACATCTTTAAGAAGTTCATTTAGGTACGCTTAGCATTCATGCACCTAAAATTTATTAATCTTTAAAAAATCTGAGAAAATTGTAATAATGAGTCACATCAGCGTTTTTAAACGCAAGTAATATATAGCTAGTGTAGTTTAATGGAAGCTGTTAGTTGCTAAAGGGAAAAAATATTTGTTTTTCATTTGTCTATGATTAGTAAAATGTTCTGAAGTCACTGGTTTGGAAAATTCGTTCAAAAGAAAACTGTAAAGTTGAAAACCCAATGATATAAAAATGCCTCAACATTATTTTTTACATTAGAGGAGGTCGTATGACTCCATCAAAGCGAAAGTTTAAGCGTAAAATTATTTCAGGGCTGCCAATATAGCAAACGTAGCTTTCAGCTGATAAACCAACTTGATTATGTGAGAATAAAGTTCCAATTAAAATCACTTAAATAAGATAAACGATGCATGTTAAAGGTGCTAATGTGGAGGGTTGAAATTTTCTCCATTATTCAGAATACAAGCGGGGACCATTTAAAGACCATGTTTATTTTATTTAATTATTACTACGATACTGAATGTCCAAGTCAGACTTGTAATTTAATATATCTGCTCACTCGTTATTCAGTTTTGTGTGCAACTTTGTGTAAGGTTTTGAAATAAAACTGGTTTTGCCAAATTTGAATACATTTTTCCAGACACCTTCTCATAGACCCTTCTCCTTCAAGTGGTAGTGTATTTTGTGTTCGCTTAGCCCAGCTTTTGTGATGTTAAATGTATTTGATATTGTCTGTCTAATAGTTTCAGTTGTTTTGCTTTTGCAAGCGCATTGAAACATGCCGCGTGCAAAATCTTATACCAAGACGTCTGAACGCTTTTTTAGTTGTTGCTTAAATTGTGTTACATTATTGCATCCAAAATGATCCATATTTTATTTCTGTGGAAGATGTATCCTCAGAAACATTCTTTTAAGATACATTGTGAATAAAATCAACAGAACTAATACCTTTGATCACTGAAGCAAAACATTTTGAGTCTTGACTTTCTTTACTTCGTTTTCCATTTACTTTTCTCGAACATGATGACGTAAACGTATTTTAACCCGCACGAATAGAGAGCCCTAATAAAAAAAGCCTACTCGTACTTATTATTTAAGGTGTAAATAACGATGATTCTGTGAGTATTTTTTCATATATTTTGATAAACATTGATGTATTCATATGTCCATATAAATAAGTTACAAATAAATTACAATCTAGTTCAACCGATGCCCGAAATGCAGTAATTAATACCAACCACTCTGGGCAATTATAATGTTTTATATGAAATAAAATTGTAAACATAATTTTTGTTCTAAATGTTTCTTATTACCCTGTACATATTTTAAGGAATTAATATGAAAAGCTGTAAGAATATTTGTTTTATCTGTTGAGCTCATAAGTGTGAGCATTCTCGAAGCAAATAGTAACAATAACCACTGAAAACGATGACAAAATAAAGATAAATATAGGCAATTACAAAGTCTTATTTTTATAGTTAGTGCGCACACCAATTAGACACTAAGGACCTTCGACAACATCACCCAAGTATAAGAAATGGCAATCTCATTTAGAAGGAAAATAATTTACATCTCTGGAATCTAAAGGAAGAGCAATAAATATAGACGACCGACGTCTAATTGCTGTTGCACAAATTAGTAATTGACAGTTATTGCTAAGATACAAGTAGCAGCTGCTAGAAAGCTCGCTTAATTGGCCGTGCTAAAGTATAAGAAACTGATTTGCTAATTGATTTCAAAATAGTTAAAAAATAACAAGAAATGTTGTTTAAATGTAATTATCAAGTTGTTGATTTCTGATAGTGAAAAAAGCACACAATTACTCTCTGGTAACGAACAATGAATGAACTTTATAAATTTAATTGAGAATAATATTATTTAGCCTGATTGTAAACACGTATTTCTTTCAGAGATGATGTTTACTTGTTGAAAATAAACCATTATGAACGTAACAGACACTTCCTGTGAATGTCATGTCTATGGAACTAACTTATAAATAAAATCTATCGGAATTTTCCAATAGTTTCTGTTATTCATGTAATATTTTGTGAAAATATGAGATCATTACTGATGTATATGATATATATTGAACGTCCAAAGGAATCCTTCAGTGTTTTAAATCATTTTCTTCAGAAATTTACAAAATTATTTTACATGCACATGGGTAACAGCACTTTAACATTTTATTTAGCGATGTAAAGTTTTACTTTATGCAATTAAATCATTTTATTATATTTATTTGTGAATTTTTCTCGCTAAAACGAGCAATTTTAATAAAAAGAGAAAAAAAAGAAATAATTCGTCAATGATATTGAGACCCAATCCAGCCTTTGATTCACGAATCCTCAGCACTGGGAGAGCGAATCAAAGAAACACTGATATGCCTCCATAGTGGTGGGTTCTTCATTTGATCGCCGATAAATATCCGGACTTAGAATATTAAAAACTATGATTCGATTACCCGCGCAGGTCAGAGCACAGATTCTCCATTGTGTAGTTTTGTGTTAAAAAACTTACACTGGTAAAACGTAAACAACTTGTAGGTTTGATATCAGCGCCTTTACATCAAAAGCGTCAAATTATACAGTTACTTTAGCTTCTTACTTTTCTTATAATGATTACGGTTTTTAATAATATAGGTTTTATTTGTCAACACTAATGAAAGTATATATCAATAGAGAAAATATCTTATTGGACGATTTACTGCTATCAGAACCACTCTCACCATTCTCTGAAAGTAAATAGTGATCATTAATACTATCAACCATAATTTATAAGCTTCTCTTTCATTTTACTTGGAAAACGATTGTTTTATTACTATTGTTCTAAGCTATTCTAATAAGAGATTTTTCTTGTTGAGGGTATGTTAAGGTAAAAACAACAACAACTAATAATGAAGTAAATGAAAGTATAAACTTTCTTACAAAGGTTGACTTTATATTTAAAGAAATGACTTAACAACTTAAGTCTCGCTTTCATTCAGGTGATTGATAATGAAAAAAGTAAACCATGTAAACCTTCCTCAATGTAAAGGAAATAAAACGCTTATCTTTTGGTTGACCGATAATAAAATGAACAACGTAAACCTTCCCACCCACGTGACTAATAATGAAGGAAGTAACATTAAAAGCAGCATATATGTACTGGTTGAGTAATAATGAAATGGACATCTTACAACTTCCTCAACTATAGAGACTGAGTATGTTATATTAAAATCGATTTTGAAACCTCACAACGTCGTTATCATCCACGTCGCCGCGCCTGATCATGCTTATCTGACGACCGTGTTTTGGACAATATTCCTGCAGCTTAGTTTCCACTGTCAAAGGCTCTGTCGTAAAACTGTGTTATAGAATGCACACCAAAAGCCCTCTAGTGTACAAGGACAACGAATTCCCAGCGCAAGTTTCAACAATTTAATCGCAAAGAAATCCATGGGCGTTATTGTGTCCGGCGACTTGACGTGATGGAATATCACGAATATCCATTTCATATTCCAGCTGCTTGAGGTACACGAAGGTTGAATGGGAGGCATGACTGGAAGCCTTATCTTGGTTAACCCATACCTTGATGGCCTCGTTTCCAAATGTAAAAACTCCTTTTTACTTATATTGCTGTACTTTTGCCTAGGGCACGTGGACAGCTTTTGACAATCACCTTTGGGTTCGTTGATTCTTACCTATTACAAGACGCCACGGTTTGCTTACCGTGCCTGGAGTACAATTTGTTATAGGTCTTTTTCTGGATGGTCCTGGTTCTCCAAGTTGATGCATATAACTTTGTTTTCCAATACCATTAAGTATAAGGGGTATCACTGTCTTGGAAATACTAAATTCCCGATCTAAACACATTTTTATGGTCTGAGTGGCGAATGTTTTGCATCGGAAAGAGTTATTATATACCCTTGTCAAAAATCGTCACACTACCTACGCAAAGCCAACCAATGTCAGAATGCAGGTCTGATTTATGCCGTTTGACCGCGATTTTACATCGGTTGTCTTTGTCAACTGACTTGCTGATTTTCATATTCAAGACCACTTTTCATTGGTAAAAAGTATCCCAACAGTTGACGGTGGGTGTTTTTTACTAGCTCCTTTCCCTCTAGTCTGTCACTTCTAAATTAGGAATAGTTAGCGCAGATAGCCCTCGAGTAGTTTTGCACGAAATTCAATAAACAAACAAACTCAACTCTCAGTAGTTAACTAAAAATCACAGAAGTAGTATATCCTTTAAATATTCTTCTACTGATTGACTGCTAGAGAAAGGAGTGAACAGTGTAACCTTCCTCAACCGATTGACTTATAATGAAGTGAACAATGTAACCTTCCTCAACCGGTTGACTAGTCAATAATGAAGTGAACAATGTAACCTTCCTCAACCGGTTGACTAATAGTGAAGTGAGAAATGTAAACCTTCCTCAACCGATTGACTAATAATGAAGTGAACAATGTAACCTTCCTCAACCGACTGACTAATAATGAAGTGAATAATGTAAACCTTTTCTTATTGGTTGACAAAAATGAAAGAGGTGAAGAATAAAAACCTTTCTCTGCTAGTTGATCAATAATTAAGTAAGCAAAGTAAACATTATTCAGCTGGTTAGCTAATAACGAATGAAGTCCATAATGTAAACTTTTCTCTACTGGTTGAATAATAATAAAGAAATTGGATTGGATTGTTATTGGCATTTTCAATCTGAACGTCACGTTATGCGACGTTCAGACTAAACAAACATGACAGCGATCGCCAAGATTTAGGCATGGCCGTCTCTACTTTAAACTGAAACTAAAGAAAATATTACCAATCAGCAGCACCCCCTAGCTACATTGCTATTCCTAACTGATTAACAGCATTGACTATTACAGTTATAACGCCTCAATAAGCAAGTAGCTTATTCAGTGATATATCAGGGCTCGATCTTGAAACCTATCGAATGCAGCTGGAACGCTAACCGTTAGGCTACGTCTGGTTCGAGTAAGTTGAGTAATGTAAGCATTTGCCGAAACGTTGACTTACAATGCAGTAGATGAACATATAAACGTTCCATTACGGGTTAAACTTCAGACGAGTGTTACTAGTAATGATCAGAACAATTTACTTATTCAAATGAAATACATATTCGCAACAGAACTGAATTAAATACAAAGTAACTTTTATACTCATAAGTGCGATTCTTAAAGGAATTTACACTTTTTTTGTATTTAGTATTAATTTGATAACTACAAAAAATGTTGGTGATTGCAAATTTGAACATGATTAGTTGTTGAAAGCTTTAAGTTACACACTTATGTTGGTTCTTTATAACTGATTAAGTCTTTAATCACACATAATTTGTTTTGTTGGGTCATCAGATACTGTAGGTAAAAAGAAGCTTTCAGACTGGAATGAACTTGATTTCATCAGTTCTCCTTTTGGAAATATTAAGATTATCTTGCAATTAGCAAGTAAAATCTACAAGTGTTCAAGCAATCATAACTTGAACAAATAATGTGCATTACCGTAATCTCAAGGTAGACTTATTTTATCATAACTGTCAATACTCTGTTGCTGTTAAAATATGAAATTGTTGCTTAGAATTTAAGCAGGGATAATGAAAATCTGTTTCAAAAAATAATGAATCAAAATGCATAGAACAATCTGAAATTTTACAAGTTGTTACTGTTAGACAATTAAATTACTCAACAGAAATATAACGCTGTGATATCTTCTTAATGAATGATACAACCAAAGACGCTGGTGTTAACTCAAAAACATGAATAATTCAAGCTGTCCGGGATTTGCATTTTCAAAAAAACTTATCATGTCTCTAAGCCCATCTTTCCCGCCCATCTGTTTCATGTTTAATAGGATTGTTCGACCGAAACAAAGTTCAATATCATTCCTGGAGTTTCCTAGATTTTAAGCATTATACAGTATAGTAAAAATATTATGTTAGATCAAACGATTATGTTTTTATTTCACTTTGTTCTAAGAAGAATCATTATTTCATGTTTACTGAGTCACGTCGTCCACCTAGAGTTAGACAGATTTGGATTTCAAAATAGTTTTATTCGTTTGAAAAAGTCTAGGAGCTTCTTGATTAAAGTTATAGAATCAGTTATGTAGAACTGAAGAGCAACAAATCAATAAGTTGGCTTATATTTGTATGTTCAAAATTATGATTCAGCACCAGTAGCAAATGTAATGTTCCAAAATAACTAAAACTCTATAGCGCACAAAATTGAATGCAAATTTTAAAACAGACGCTTTAGTATCTTCACCGATTTGCATTTCGTGCTCTTAACAAATAATATATGTGTATTCTTTAATTTTCCGAAATACAATTACAGCCATAATACACCCAAGATTAAATCAGTATGTGCATAACGTGTTGTTAAGGTGAACATACAAAGAAATAAGAAAACCTTATATTAACTTCTTTGGTAAAGAGGAAGGAATATAAGTGTGAAAAGGGATTACTTTGACGCTCAGCCTAGCGATGTGTAAAAGCAATTAAACTCATATAAGTTTTGAATAGCAGCGTTTCTAAGGGCGGTAACATTGCATTTATGGCTTAAGGGATACAAGGACACTTTTTTAAACGAAAGCTGAAATTAAGCGACAGTGTTATTATAAAACACATTCAGTTCTTATTGGGAATTAAATTTGTTCCTTAAGACTAACGTTTTTAAATTTGTTTTATCAACAGGTTAAACCTTAATGTAATAGGCGGAAGAAATGTAATCGAAATCACTTATTCTTAGATATTTGTAATTTCTACATAAATTACCAGCATAATGCATTCATATACAAAATCAATTACTGATAAAAAATCTTTTAACTGCTTATTTAAAGTTTAATTATGAATAAGTCAAATTCATTCTCATATGTGGCCTAAAAAGACCAGCACGTTTAGGTTTTATACAAAAAAAGAAAGAAAAACAGAAAACATTTTATAAATTCAACGACAAAAATAAAGAAAAAAATTGGAAAAACGTGAAACACGTCATGTAATCAGAGAAATTTAAGTTAACAAATAGTGAAACACACACATTTATGTTATATAGTTATATATAAGCTTCATAAAAGATTAATGAACAATTTTGGAATTCATGAGCAATATAAATATGCATCAACACATATATATATATATTTATCTACTGCTAAAACAAACCATTTAAACAGATATTGATATTTTAGCCCTGGGTATAACCCCCCTCTCCCGTAGAGCTAGCCGTCCCTATCAGTGTAAGACTAGAGGGAAAGCAGCTAGTCATCACCACCCACTGCCAACGCTTGGGATTGACCGTCACATTATAACGCCCCCACGGCTGAAAGGGCGAGCATGTTTGGTGTGACGGGGATTCGAACCCGCGACCCTCAGATTGCGAGTCGAGCGCCGTAACCACCTGGCCATGCCGGGCCCCAAAACTACGGATGACAAGCTTTATCTTCGCTCTTCCAACAGTCTTTTAAACAGCAAACACGAGAGAAAATCATTATTTCCAGTTTTATTCAAGACTTATAGTTTTCAAGATATCCCCTATTAGACTTACTTACCACATGTTTATTTAAGAAAAAGGATGAAAGTTCTACAGACTGGATCCTAGTAACTCTAACGATAGAATAAAGGTGATGAAGTGTGACAAAGAATTAATATAACTTATTAAATCCACGTAAGGTAACAGTTATTTTGCTCTCAATACATCCACATTCTTCTTATGTTTTAAATGTTCTACCGTGAGATCACAACACGATCCATTTCTACACAAGTATCAGACCCTCTACAATTTTCAATCTATCTTAACAGAAAACTCAGTAGTTCATTGGTCTATCATAAACACATTGCTGTCTAGAACATGTTGTCAGTTGAGTTATTCTGGCAATAATCTTTTTCTCTTACAGTTGAATAGAAAAAGTAACACAAAACTATGTTTCCTTTCATTCAATCACAGAGAAAGCTTATTTTAATTAACTTAAAATGGATAATACGCCTTCCTTATTTTTAGCTATTGATTCACTAATATATTTAATTAAACGTGATGGAAGGATTTTATTTGTTTTAATTTTTATTACAAATCTTAAACATGATTACTTCAAAAATAATGCTCTTAACATTATTATTTCCACGCCTTCGTCTAATAGAATCAGCTCTTAACACTATCGTTTCCAAGCATTCTTATGTATAACAAAATCGGATAATGATAAATTCTGAACTTTCGTCAAACAGGATCAGGCTCTTAATTTGGTCGTTTGATCTGGTTAAATAGAGTCAATTTCTTGACCTTAGGGCACACTGGTAACAAAAAAACATATATAAATGTATATAGAGATCCCGCGGATCTCTTATGATATTACACGACATTGCTTAGGAAATGAGAGGTAGAAATAAGTTATTTGATACAAACATAGTATATTTTTCAAATTTAAACATAAATAGCAGGAAAAGGTCACTCATATGTTTGTTTAGGCGTATAAGAATATACTTTGACCATACCCATATTATACTGCTTGTGATTTCATAAATGAAACACTAAATGCAGGGGTTTACTTTTCTTGAATTGAGAATGACTGAGAGATAATTCTTTTCTGCTTATTGTATATTGTTTAGGAGTAGATAAGTGAGGCTAACCCTAAAACAATAACCAAGTATCTAAAGAAATGGACAACTTGTCAAAGAAAAGCTAATGGGATAGGTCTTAGGTTTAACACGCTAATTTTCATGATTTCCTCTAATAAATGCGACTCTTGATATAGTAATATCCGCATCCTTGTCTCTTAAAAATAAAAGTTATATCATAAGTTCTATTGTTATGGACATTATTGTATAATTTAGTTTCAGTCTTGAATATTTTGAATTTCTTTTAACTTATGATCCCTATCAAGCTCATTTCGAAACTGTTTTAAGTATCTACAGCAACCATACCCGAAAGCCATCAGTAATGGTTGACAGTATGAATTTCAAGTGTGTTTCATTTCGTTCACAGGAAATACATTTCCACAACTGATACTTCAGTGTTAAATATTAACTTAACCTTCCATTCATTCCAAAATAAGTTAACTGAAACCAGTGTTGTTGAGTCAGTATAGACATCATGTAGACTTATTCGAAACCTCCTGCATAAATCCTTTGTAGAGCAAACATAAATTAAAACAAAGTAAATATTTTCAACTGTGAAGAGAATTTACCTAAAATGATTCTAATGATATTTCTTATATTTTTGTTTTAAATACATTCATTGACTTAATTGTGAATGGTATTTTGATTATAAGTTACCATAAAATAGTCATGATTAACCAGCGAAATATTAGAGTTTAATCTGCAAGTTTGAAGTGTGACGTGAGAGATCGTAGACAATTTGGTTTGGTTTGTGTCCAATTTCGCGCAAGGCCACACGAAGGCTACCTGCGCTAGCCGTCCCTAATTTAGCAGTAAAAGACTAGAGGGAAGGCAGCTAGTCATCACCATCCATCGCCAATTATTTTACCAACGAATAGTGGGATTGGCCGTCACATTATATAGCCCCAACGGCTGAAAGGGCGAGCATGTTTGGGGAGACTAGGATTAGAACCTGCTACCCTTAGATTGCGAGTCGAGCGCCCTAACCACGTGGCCACGTTTATAGACAAACAGAGCTAACAGTCATAAAAAATAATATGTTTCCATTAAAGTTAAGAAATGAGGCTTATGTGTTTATATGAACCATAAAGGAAAAATATCACTATTTAAAAACTCTTAAATTTTGTAAGTTAAAATACCTCTGAATATGATGGTACATATTTTTTTATACAATAGATGTAAAAATATTAGTCTTTTGTAAGACATGAATAAATTACCATTTCGACAGAGAAACGATGGTTAAAATATATATCATGATCCAATTTGTTAGAGGAAAAAAATATTTGGTCTCCTTTCAAAATTGACGCAAAATAGTTTTAGTTCATTCTAGTAACTAAATATTACAAATAAATGGAACACTTATACATTATAATATAAAAATATTAATTCTTAAACATAAATTTAACTCAATTAAAAGCCTATAATGTTCTCCTTTTTTTAATCTACTTATTAATTACGCCCAGTAATTAAACAACGTTTCAGCTGCGAACTCTGCTGCCATCTATAGGTGCTCTCCTGTAAAGTTTTAATTAAGATAGCATGGAACTTACGAACTGAAATATTGTTTAGTTAATTAGCAATAATACATAACTATATAAATAAAGCAGAATGTTAAAACACTATCAAGATTTAACTGTGAAATATAGAAAATAAATATTATGTATAAACAAATAACATATTATGCGGTAGAACATAAATACTAAACTAACAGTGGAAAGTTAGTCTTCAAAGCAAAATCATTTACGTTTGAATTATATAATATTAAAAACTGTAAAGTTATAAAATAATATGAAACGTTAGGAAAGAAAAGATAATTCAATGATATAGATCAGAATACTCGGAGGTCACAATTCCATATTTTTTAATCTTTTGAACAGAAGATGAACATGGATCACATAAATCAAGGACGAAAGTCCAAATTAAGTTGTGCTATTTTAACTAATAAAAATTATGATAACGAAACTTTAACATAATATAACGTTTTGGGATAACATGGGACTATTGGTTTATCTCGGCTGTTCCATCCTCTAAACTAAATTAAAATAATAAAAATAACACCTTAAAGCCAGCCTTTATCATTCATATACTTATCAAGTTTTTTTCTTAAACTCACTTAAATTTACTGCCTCTAGAACACCTGAAGGCAATCTATCTCAAAGACCAACAACCCTGTTAGAAAAATGAAACTGTCTTAGATGAAGATGACTCCTACCTTGCCGTAATTAATATTTGTGTCCCCCTAGTTCTACTATTCTCACTGTTAAATATCAAAAAAGTTGATGCATCAACACCATCAATTCCCTTTACAATCTTAAACACCTCAATCAGATCCCCCTATCTTTTTTCAAGATAAAACAATTTGAGAGATTTCCACCTTTCCTCGTGTGACAACACCCTCCATCCTAGGCACCATTCCAGTAACCCTTCCCTGAACCCTTTCCAACAGTTCAATGTCTTTCCTAAGATAAGGAGCAAAAGACTGAACACAATATTCCGAATGTGGCCTGTACAATGAAATTATAACCTCTTTAGACTTGTATTCAATATTTCTGTGGATACAACCTAAAATTATATTTGCCCTACCACTAGCAACAGCACACTGCTTGGATGGCTTTAGATACTGATCTATTATTACACCAAGATCCTTTTCCTTCATAACACTGTTAAGGTTATTCCCATCCAAATTATACTTATAATTCAAATTATGATAACCCATATGTTCCCCATCATCTTCTTTGTTAATTGCTTTGTTGTTTTTCAGGATTTTATCTTAAAGCTACATAAGCACTATCTGTGCATAATCGTTCATAATTTTGAATTTATAGACTAGAGAGAGGACATTTTTCAGACCGACATAAAAAGGCCCCTGAAACACAGAAATCATAGACATTAAACATTAGTTAAAATATAATACGTCTAAATAATAAACTTTTAATATTGATTCATGTTGTTAAAGTTCTTTCTCTTAGTGCTTTATATATAATTCTCTTGGTGCTTTTTAATATATAGGTACCCGTATTATCATGTATGAAATTATCAGAGAATTAAATACACACACACACACATACATGTATATAAGTGCATTTGCGTACGTTGTACTTCACAGCCTATCAATTATGATTGTTGAATGTTTTCGAAATGTCTTGTGTTATTCACCACAATTTAGCCAAGTTGTTTGATCCTGTTTTGACGTTTTAAGCTTTTACATATGTTCGTACATGCAGCTTCAAGAATATTTATATCTGGACTTTGTGCACCCCAAGTCATGGTTTTGACGGGTTTTTTCGGCCTCTTTGTTTTAAGGATATCGTTTCACCACTTTCGCTGTATGCTTGATATTTCTGTCTCGCTGAGAGATGAATACCCACACGATGAGTGTGTTCTTGAGGGAATACTATGATGGATGAAAATCTGCCTTTACTTGTCAGCAGTCATAGTGCCATCAATTTTGTGCACATCACCGACACAATTGGCTGAAATGGAGCCCCAAACGTTTACTGGTACCCACTATGTTCCACTGAAGGTTCTGTACATACTGTATGATACCATTTTCTTCTCTGCCATCGAAAACACTATCATTGATTATTGCCAAACAATTCGATATTGGATTCATCTGTAAATAGCATACGTCTCAAGCTTTATTCCACTTTTTTTGGTCCAGTATTCATTTTAACCATTTGGTTTGGTTAGTTTGTCTCAATAGCGGTTTCTGAGCATTTATTTGCCTATTTAAACCATTTCGTGCTAATATGGATCTTACTATTATCGAGATAACATTCATACCTATGTTTACAGCAAGGTCGTTAACAGGATTTGTATTCAACCCTCGTCTGTCTAAAAAAGAAAATATCGTGAAATACTTAGCATAACTTTTGTTGAGTTTTAGATTTCTCCCTCGACCACTGCTGTTGCTATCTCGCACTCCTCTAAGTCTCGTATACATCTGTTAATGAAACATGGAGTCTGGCCACTTTTTTTTTTGTATGGAGTATCCTTGAGCAACTAAGTCTTTGATTTCTATACGGTTTTCATACGGTATTTGCCTGGGAGTTATGACTAGATTCTTTTGTATTGCCAGTTATATTTTGACGGTATGTTCTTTTATAGGTTTTTATACTGGTTTGGCACTCTCTGATTGGTTGGATAAGAACCAATTACAGTCGAAATTATTAAAGAAGTGACTATACACTGGAAGAACTCATTTTCACACAGTGAAGGGATGGAATTCTCGTAGTACGTATCTGTTATAACACTCCTTCCTTTCTATTTCCATAATCATTTCGAATATTATTTATTGTTATTATATCAACAATTTTAGTGAATAATAATAATACAACCATAAAGAATATTAGATACTCTAAATTGTCCATTTGTTTTTATTCATTTGCTTAGGAAGACGTAAATGCATCTCTTATTTTAATTCGTCTTCTTAGAAAGATGTTAATGTATGTCTTATTTTAACTTGTTTGCTTGGAAAGATGTTAATGCATGCCTAATTTTAATTTGTCGGTTTAGGAAGGTGTTAATACGTGTGTTGTTTTAACACATCTGCTTGGAAAGACGTTAATGCATGTCTCGTCTAAATTTGTTGTTTGAGAAGATGATAATGCATGTCTCGTTTTAATTAGTCTACTTAGGAGGACGTGAAAGCATACTTTGTTTTAATTTTGACAGGAACAATTGATTTTAGGCCTAGATATAATATTTATGTTTAACTATTATTCTACTCTCTTAAATAGGCAATCACGTTTCAACTAAAGTTTCACAAGAAAATCTATCCTGAAAATATACATACACCATATTATCTTGAAACAAATCGATGGAAAATTAATTATGTAGACAAGTGGACCTGTCTTTATCAAGAACAAAAACACCCTACCACTTAATATTCCTACATCAGACACCGGTTTATGAAACGGAAACTTTTTGAAATCCTACTTTCAACATTAACAAAAAACGTCTGAATGAATATTCAGGAGGGATAACAAGAATTTTCAAAAATACTCTAGTACATTGATTGATATATTAGACCCGAGTAAACATTAATAAATGAAAGCATATCCTATACGTATCATGTTAACAGTCTAATGTAACGTACAACGTCATAAAAATACAAACATTCAATTATAAATGCTTTATCATGATTAAACTTTAATCATCTCACTTAGAAATATAATTGTTTGCGCACAAAATCAGTCAATGTTCGAACAACAACAACAAAAAGGCCAAATATATACTCATTTTCGCTTTCGCTAACAATCATCTTTTTTCATGATTGTCTATTTATTTTAAATGAAATTTCTTTGTTCGGATTTTGGTGCAAAATTTTTCGTTCTTTCTTAAACATAAAGTAATAAATGTTTTCTTGCCCTTTTAATCATCACCATTCCAATTTTTTCTGATGGTTCAGTCTGATTTAGTATTTTTTTTTATATTGGAACTAGATAATAGATCTACGACAGTACTAGAAGCTAATAGCTAATGTTTGTTTGTTAGTAAGTAAAGTATACTCTATTATTTTTTGTTGTTACATTTATTAACAATATTGGTTAGAAGGTTTAATATATGTAATTTTATTGTTTTTAATTTTAGAATTTATTATTATATTTTTCTTATATATATAAACATTGTTTTGTATTGTCAGCTAAATATATGGATTTGGGACTAGCCTAACTCTTCTAAGCTGAACCTCGGGAGATATTATTGGGTTTACGACCGAAATTATCGTTAACAACGAGGGTACTGTAATGATGAAATAATGTATTATAATCTTTATAAGTAAGAAGGTAAGGAAAGCATATTTAATTACCTATACAAACTAACTGATAGATTTATACTTATGATCTAAGTCGGTAGCTTGCTGTGTTCGGAAATTAATATTAGATGCTAATCTAATAATAATAACGATTGGTCTTCATCTATATAAAGAGGTATTTGTTTATTTTTATCTTTTGTTTAAAGGTCTCATTGCAATTTTCTACACAAAGAAAATTACTTTATTAGAGTATTTAGAAACTATCAACAGTTATCATACCAGTGTGGGAAATATGCGTTTTGTTAGAATGAATCGAATTTTCTTGTAACTGTCAAATGCAGGGAAGTGGATGGATTAATGTTGACCAAAAGCTACTGTAAGTGGTTAAGGTTTATTGATTGAAATATTGTATTTAAAAGGCTGTAAGGTAAGGGGGAAAATCTTAAAGTACTTTCATAATAATTGTTATTATTTATACATGTCAGATGAAGATGTTACAAAAGAAAAACCTAAGAACAGATTTTCATTGGCTTTAGTCTTCACGTCAAATCCTTGACATATGAAAAATGTTATTATTGAGATCCACATGTGTCATTATGTATAAACCAAAATATACACTTACTTGTCGTCGGAGCGTATATATTTAAATACAAGCAGTCTTCACTCTGATTCACGAGTTTCGGACGAATGCGTCGAAGGTAAGCCAATCTTCCGGGGGGCATCCTCTTTAGTGCTTCTGTGTGATTTACAATATCGGGAAACTTCTGCGGACAGACCGGACCAAACATGGAAGCATTTCTGATTCCTCGCCAGTGCGGTGGAGTAACGGGCGGCATGAATCTCAATGAGCCGATGGGGGCACTCGCATAAGGAACGCCGTAAAATACTTCAACAGGTCGGAGGTCCTTGTTGGTTTTAAACTCCTGAATTATTCCTTTCAAAGAACCATATTTTGTCATCACAACTCTAGAGCTTGCACTGTCTGTTGCTCCGTGAATGTAGCGGAAATAAATGAGAACGCTAAAAAATATAAAGTGTTTAAGTAACTTAAGCTTGTCACGCATCTTATATTCTACCTTTCGATTCAATGACATCTTAAGATAACAGTTTGTATATCACACCGCGTCTTTCAATAGCTGCTTAAGTGTTTTTGTATTGTATGAAAAAGTCAAAGTCGGTGTCTTCATCCTGCGGAAAAATGGAAACCCACAATCATACAAACAGTAATACCTTTCCATTTACAATGGTAAACAATTGATTGAATTAAAACTAGAGATGAATTATTTTTAGCACAAGATTAGGCTTTCGATAATATTTATTTTTAATTCGTAACAGGCAGTTAAAATATGCTCTTACCCCATAAATGCTTATAATCAATCTGCTTAGTGAAAGCTGAATAACACAGTAGGCGGTTATTACAAAATTGTGGTACGAAAAAAGAAAAAACTTATTAGAAAACTTCATACTTCCTTGATATTCAGTAATTTTGATTTCAGTTTACGCTCTAGCAACCATCACGATGATAAAAACAAATTCATCTGCCCGTTTTCCTTGAAGGTTTCACGTCTATTTCTACGAGGACAGAACGAGCGTTTTCTCGAAGTAATGGAGAAGAGTGAGTCGTGTAATATAGGCGCATGCGTTCTAATATTTGTCTGGGTGATGTTCTAAGTTGGATATAAAGAGTTGGACGGTTATCGCTAAGATACGGAACTGTTCTTTATTTGGTTTGTTAAGTGATGAAAGTTTCTTTATTTGTTTGCTGATGTCCGTGCAAAGCTGTTCTAGTCATTCCAAATTTTATCTGACGAACTAGACGGAAAGCAGTTAGTCAACGTCACCCAGCGTTGCTACAGCCTCACCGAATGGAGGGGTTTTACCCTTACCCTAATAAAGCACCAATGGTCCCAAAGTACGGAGCGTTATTGTTTGTCGGTTGGACCAAAAAATCTACAGTTCGGCACTCACTGGGCTACACTCGACCTGTGATAAAATCGAAACTTAAGAAATTTGTCAAACCCCTTATAAAAAGTGGATAATGCATTTATTTTTGTTTGTTTCTGAGTGCAAGACTACACAATAAGATGTTCCGCTTTCTATCCATCGCACGGAACTGATCCACAGATTTTAGCGTTGTGAGTCCGTGAAGTTACCACTCCATGTCTACAGTACTTATCAATGTTAGTGGAGTCAAAATAAGGATTTGTAACTTGAGAAAATAATGTAGACACTATTTCCAGCATAGTTTATTTACTTTTTTAGAGTCCTTAGTTGTAGACTTGAAAATCTAATCTTTGCATTTTGATTCAACTTGTTTCTGGACTTTTTGATGATCCCTATTCCCATTTTTAAATATATTTTTTTAATTATCTTGTTTCTCAACTTTTTTTTATGTTCATCCACTTGAATGTTACATGTTTTCAACAGTTTACTGCTGCACTGGCTTTTTTTCCATCCAACCATTATTTACTGACCCAGGTGGTTTTGTGCCTGAGGTTTCGTGTAAACATGCGTTTAACAAAGGTAGCCGCTCACAACAACATTGCATATATTATGTATTTATAGCCATGTTAATCAACTTTCAATGAAAAATAATAAACTTTTTAAACAGGTCATGGACATTCGCAGCATTCCATACAGTATATCTGTCTAGGTTTTGGTGCAAAATACCCAGACAGTTTTGCGGTAGGCTTGTGAAACAAAAATATGAATAATAATAATAATAATAAAATACGCACTCACAATTTCAGCGAAGTGCGAAAATCAATAGAATAAACCCCCACTCACAAGAGTAGAGAAATCTACTATGGTAATCATCTACTATTAGAAAACTCACTGAAATAGACGCAGAAAACCATGTAAAGACAAAGTACAACAGTGAACTCGAGAAATAACGAATCCACATCGTGGCAGTTTAGAATTAATGCGCTATAAGTTGGACAAATTATTTTCCAATTAATGTGCATTAGTAAAACACTGGATTTTTTCAATGGCGGAAAGTGAAGGACTTAGAGAAATTCTTCAGGGCGAAAAACGAAAGTGCTTGAATTAATTTTATAATTACCCTATGACATGCTCAATACTGCATTCATTACTAATGCTCAGACTTCAGTAAAATATTCATAGCTGTTTTTTTCTGTAGCGGCTTGTAAAACTATAATCAATAATAATAATAAGGCTGGAGACACTGATATAAATATACAAATTGTTTACTCTAAAAAAACTAGTATAGACTAGTATAAAATGGAGCATTTCCAACTAACATAACGGTGCTTATATTACTTCTACATTTCTATGATGCTAGTGTGGCTTCGAAGAGCTTATGTTGGAAGCGAAGAAGAACTTAGAAAACTTTAGAGGGTGGAAATCTCTATTGTCAAGAATCAACTTAAAAATAGCTCTACAACCTTCGCATGAATTATTTTAGTAGCTGTGCATAGCTTTTAGCACACTATACCTAGCCGGTTTAGCTGTAGGCTTCTGTGCTTGAACAGCTTCGAAAGGAAATTTGTCCAGTAGCGATGAAAAAACTGATAAAATCTCTTTCAAGAATCAACATGAAAGTAGTACTGTGCAGGAGTTTTTTAGTAGGTTTGTCCATGTTTGAATAAAATATCCATAGCTGTTTTTTTTTCGTATGCTTGTGAAACAAGAATAATATTGATTATTGTAATAACAATAAGAAGAACAAAAAGATGAATTTTGACTTTTATCTAACAATCGTAAAAACAATATTTTTGCTATTATCAATATTTTAGCATCCTTAGCCATTGAGATAGAAGGTCTTGTGTATTGTTTCAAGAACAAATCTACTATTAGGATGATTTTTGCCCGTACGTTCCGTTAGAATTTTTGTGAAATTCCTGGGCGATCCCTATTATGAACCACTATCGTGTTTCATGATAGGTTATCCTCCTTACGCTATTTTTGCAGATGATACATAAATTATTAGCATGGCGTTTTAATGGCCGACAAATGAAGAATATATATATATATATATATACATATATCTGCACGACTAATAAAGATATCCCACTTAATTGTTTAATCGAAGTTTGCACAAAGTACTATTATAATCTCTGTTCTTTCTTGATCGTTATCTCCTTTTTAGAAAATCTCTTCGTGACCAGTAGGTTGTTGGAATTTCAACAGTTTGTAATTTTACTCGACCAATACGTTGCTCAATATTTAAAAAATAAAATATTCCGATATTAATTTATTTTAATGTTTCACTGTATGTAATATATTTATAAAAAGCTTTCAAATTTATATTTTGCAGCAGCTATAAATTTAAATGCGTTAAGAAGAAAAAAAAACATTTTTTACAAAGAGTATGTTTTTACCACCAGGTGGTACATTACTAAATATACCTTAAATCCGTCACTATACTCTTTCGTCACACTTACCTGCTTCCCAGTGGCACAGCGGTATGTTTGCGGACTTACAACGCTTACCTACAAACAAAGAAACCCACTCACTTTAGGAAAACACATCTAATGGTACAATAAAAGCGTAACTAAATGTGTTTAAAATATGTATAATTCGATTGTGTTCAAGATTTGGAAGAACCGAATTAACTCGTATTAGTTATGTTCAAATAAAAATGTTTTATTGAGTGACGTTTCAAGCAAACGCTCTCTGTATAATACTTTGTCAGCTCCATCAGTTGAGCTGTGTTACTGATAGGCATTAACTGAGTCTTGACAAAGAAAGCTTGCTCGAAACGTCGCCCAGCATTTTTTTTTTTTTTGTTACTTAGGTTTTATTATTTGGTTTATACGTTCTTAAATTTATAACCACCTTTGCATTCTTTCCTGCGGATCTTATGATTATTTACCCGTATGTTGTTAGCTCTTCTTATCCATTCGTACAGATTAACTATTTTATCCATGACCTACCCCTAATTTCCTAACATTTCTCTTAACTACATTAAGTACAGAAGCAAATTAATTTTGTTCACATTGTTTTCATTATGAACTTTGAATGCTTCATTTAAAAAAATGTGTAATGATATTTTTTTAATTATAAAGTTAATGTGTGTAAAGTTAATTAGTCGGTTCACAGCGCAATATGGGTGTTTTAGTAGCCTGCAGGAGGATATTTTTTCTTCTTTTTCTAATTGGGGACGAGAACACCAATTTTTAATATGAATATCGATTGGCTAATGAGTAAGAGTTAAGATATATATTTTTTGTTTGTTTTTGAATTTCGCGCAAAGCTACACGAGGGCTATCTGCGCTAGCCGTCCCTAATTTAGCAGTGTAAGACTAGAGGAAAGGCAGCTAGTCATCACCACCCACCGCCAACTCTTGGGCTACTCTTTTACCACCGAATAGTGGATTGACCGTCACATTATAACGCCCCCACGGTTAAAAGGGCGAGCATGTTTGGTGTGACATGGATTCGAACCCGCGACCCTCAGATTGCGAGTCGAGTGCCTTAACCACCTGGCCATGAAGATATATATTAAATATTTGCCGTCATTAAATGTTCAATAAATGAGCATTACTTTCACGTGTGATCTCGATAATTTGTGGTTTTCAAAATATTTCCACAGCATTAGAACTATTGATTTACATATATTATTTATTATTTTAAGGCTTAAGGGTTTATTTGATGTTTACGACGTTTCAAATCAAACTGATTCTACAAGGAAAAGTTTTCAATAATTACGCTTGAGTTATCTGCTAAATGTAGGATTTTAAGAACATTTGTTAGCACACAAAAGAGAGAGAGAGAAAGCTACGTTTGAACAGAAATATCATTGATTTCGACTATTACAGTTACACTTTGAATATTCTGCGCACGAAAAGTTCCATACGTTTAATTGCACAAATACAGCATAGTTTTAAGATCGCATATGTTAAGATAGTACTTAGAAGTTTTGGTAAACACGCACACACATATTCAAATCATTATTGCAACTATAATAATAGGATAATTAAGTCAACTGATGAAATGACATCAACCTTTACTTTCTTATGCTTTTGAATTATATTATTTGAATTACTACATGTTTCGAAGTAAATAATCCAAGTAACTTTAACAACGACATTCGAAGCAC